GAAATTTAAGCTCCCATTTCTTTTGATATCAAATAGCTGTTTCCTTTCTATCATATCAGTAACTCAGTATGTCTTTAGGTAGATGCTAACTTGGTACATTTTTTACATTCAGTGCTATCTGTAGCAGGCAACACCACAGTGGACTGCCTCCTGTAGGTAAATGGGGAATAGCTAATGTACCTTTTTAATCTAGTTTGGGCCAACCTTTTCTTGGTTGAGTGCCACACTTGGACCAAGTTTTCAGTTTGTCTTACCCTAAAGCCTTCGGCATAAATGTATTTTTAGTTTGTTTTTGTTTTTTTTTTTTAACAAGATTGTTCTATGCCAGGGTAAAGCTTTATGGATATGAAAGGTAGTCCCACTCTTATCCTAAGCTCTATTTCTGTGAGTCTGTATGCCTGCATGTTTTGTAAGAATTTAGAGCTCTTGAAGATTAAGTTCCATTTTATACAACAAGCCTCTGCTGCAGTGTCTTAGGAAAACTTGGATTTTATGATCTTTTTGAGGTTTCTTATGTCTGCTCAATAAAAATGCTTCCTGATATTTGTAGTGGATGAATTACTAAAAGCTGTGACTCCGCTAATGAGAAGGTGCCTAATACATCAAAGCAACCCAACCAGTAAAGAGATCTTTCAGAGGCATGAGTAGAACGTAGGTAATCAAACTAGGTTTTAAAAATGTGTTGAAAATTTTAAGAAAATCCTACCAGCTATATAATCTTTTGAAAAATCTTGTAAGTATCTTACTGATCCATCAGATTTGCATGTGATCACTTTACTAGCTGATAGATTTAAAATCAAACAAATTGCTCTAAGTGCTTATTGGTGAAAGTGTAATTGTGCTGGGTATGGTTATGCAGGCCTGTAATCTCAGCTACCTGGGAGGGGGAGGCAGAATACCACAAATTGTTAATTATTAATTGTGATAATATCACAAGTTGACCAGGGAGATAGCTCAGTAGAATAAGTGCTTCCTTGGCAAGCACAGGGTCCTGAGTTTAATTCCCAGTACCACAAAAAAGAAAAAGTAATAATAATATCACAAGTTAATTTGGCAAGATCCTGTCTCAAAAAAATGTTAATTCCTTCTTAGAGTTGAATGTGCTGTTTGGTCTGTGTTCAGGCCATTTCCATTCAACTCAAAGAGGTTTAAATATTCTTTATATGTGAATGATGTTCAATACTCCTATGTTTATAATACCATTATTCACAGTAGCCAAAAGGTGGAAGTATCTATCTATGGATTGATAGACAAAATGGGTACCCACCACATACCATGGAATATAAGCCTTAAAAAGGAAGCAAATTCTGACATAACATGGATGAACTTTGATATTTTGCTAAATGAAGTGAGCTAGGCATAAGGACAAATACTGGATGATAGCATCTTAGAATAGAGTCATAGAAAAGGTATGATGGTGGTTGATAGGGATGGGAAATAAAGAGTTATTTCTTATGATAGTTTCAGGTTTGCAAGATGAGCTCTCAGCAGCACCACAGTGAAATTATTCTTAATGTCACTGAACTTGAAAATAGTTACGATCTGTATATTGCTGTGTATTGTTCCACTGTTTTGCGTATATTTTTTGGTTCTGGGAATGGAACTTAGGGCCTCATACATGCTTAAGCACACATTCTGCCACTAAGAGTTCTTGGAAGCCCTCTCAGTATGTAAGTCTTTTCTTCTAAAGCAAGGACAGCAAAGCCAAGAATAACGTTTTATCTTTTCAAGTAGATTTTCAGTGGTATATAGGTCCCTACCTAATAGCTGTTGAGCCTCAAAGACTGAAATATTTACTATCTGGTCTTTGTAAGAAAGATTTGGTAATCTCTCTTGTAAACTATTTTTGTATTTAAATCTGTATCCCCAAAATAAGACACCTAAGTATTATAGGTTTCCATGTCTACATGTGTAGAAAATATAATACTTGCCCTGTCTTTCTGGAACTGTTGTGTAAGGTACAAAAGATAGGAGGTAACACTGAAACGCAGGTCTTGTTTATTTTGCTTTACACAGGTTGGCCATTGATCTTATTTGCTTATTCTGTGTTCAAAGCAAATACATTTGCTGATCGACTTCCTATGCTTAGTTGGCCAGAAGTTAATTGATTAGGGAAAGACTAAAGCAAAGGCCCTTAAATTTCTTAAAAGTTAACCACTTTTCCCAAATCCTGGAATTAAGAGAAAGAGTAAAGTTAAGATATGGCCCTTGAATTGGGATTAACTGTGTGGTGAGTAAATCAGACACTGAAAATATTTGGTGTCTTTCCCAGAGATAATTTTGCTAGTCTAAAGAACTAACATCCTTCATCGATTTGAACCAAGTTTTTGTTTTATTTTGGTTAAAAAATTGCTTAAAGGGAATAAATTCTTTCTAAGGGATATTTAATGTACCCTCATGTTCCAAAGATCATAAAGCCTAGGGCTGGTGAGATGGCTCAGTGGTCTGAAGCACCTACTTAGAACAAGCTCAGCAAAGCACAGGGACCGCGCGGTTCAATCCCCCAGCACCACATGCCAGCCAGCCCCGCCCCCTGGTGGGCTGAGCTGGCCACACACACACACACATATAAATAAATAAAAAATTAAAAAAAAAAAAAGCCTTACACATCCCATTGTCTTGTAAGATTCCAAGTCTCTTCCAGAGGATTTCCATGGAAGCTTATTTGACAGCTGAAAACTTGCGTGGAAATTTTTCCACATAGTCTGGTAGAAACCATGTTCCTAGGATACTCAAAGCAAAGAAAGCTCAGCTAGAAGAAATGGTTTGCAGTAGACTTTATGTGGACCTGTCATTTTGTTAGGGATAGAGTATCCACATGAAGCTGAATGGTCATAGCAAAGTGTCTACAAGATCAGTTGTGTCTTCATTTACCGTCCCTGTCATTTTTCTGCTAACATAAGGGACATGGCTGTGTTTCATGTTTAGAATGGAATTTGGATCATTACATTTTTGGCTGCTTGAGAGAGCCCTCATTATACTTAGTCCAGTAACTGAGACATAATGATGCTGTCGTAGATACCTTTAGTGTTTATTCTCCTGTGCCTTGGATTTTTTTTTCCCCCTACTTTTAGGAATCTGATCTAATGATACTTTTGGCCCTGCAACTCTTTGACTTGTTAGTCAAAGGCATGACATATTCATTATTAAACTGGACAGATTTCTAAAGTTTTTGTAATTTTTCAGCCACACTGAATATATTACTAAACTGCCATGCCTACCATCTAAACAGAAGATAGATATGTTCTGTTTACTTTGATTTGTGAGACTAAATGTTTTGCTCTTCCACACATTTCTTTTTTGTTTATGGGTGTGCCTGCAGCTTGTTTGGGTATGTTTAGGACAGATAATTGTAGTATTTCACAGTGGAAGCTAAGCAGCAACTATCAGAAGCCTTCAGACTGGAGAGACTCCTACAAGGAGTGGCTCCCTTTATCAGCCAAAAACATCTGGTAGACTTAAGAACTGGCTAGAACTGGCTACATTCCATTGTAGCAGTGTTGCTGTATTTTGCAGAATTCATTGGCATTGGAGGCCAGGGGCCAAGAACAATCACCATGGATCAACTTTACCCCACATTTGTCTCACTAAAACATGACCTATGTCATTGCCAGTCTTACAGAAAACTCACTACTATTAGAGACTACTGGACTGCATTGGAATATTTTGCTGAATTCAGGCACCTACAGTATTTAAATGACAATGGAATACCTTTCCCTGACAAAACTAAGCAAAAGGGATACAAAAGAACGACCATTTTGTATCTGTATGTTCAAAATAGTTAGGATACACAGCTGCATTCTCTTGGATCATTGAATAGAGAGATTTGTTCTAATAGTGTTTGTGGACATAACCATTAAGACAACAATATGCAATGTAGTACAAGTACAGTAATTGGTTTTGAAACTGTCTCGGAGCCAGGGAAGCACAATGTCAGTAGAATAAATGCCTGCCTGGTAAGCACAATGTCCTAAATTCAATCCCTGGTTCCACCAAAAAAAGAAAAAAAAAAAAAAAAAAAAACTATCTCATTGCTATTTGTTTCTCAATAAAATTATTTTAAAAAAATATGACCTAGACAAAATACTAGTAGCTATGGTGTAGATCATAGGAAGTTTGTTTATAGAGCTTCAAGATGTATCACATTCTTTGAAGTTTCTTTGGGAACCCCTTTCTGAGGAGTTTCTTAGTTTGGTTTCTCTTTACCACATAACAGTAATAAGACTGACATAACCATAAGCAAGTGGGGCATTTTCTATTTTGAGAAATATCTGTGCCACTTCCTTATATTAAGAGTGGAGGGTTTTTTTTAGTAACTGAAACATTTCTGTATTTAAAATGAAATCTTTTTTCACTTAAAAAAATATTGTTATGAGGCAAAATTAGTTCAAAGTCTAATTCTTACATTTTTCCAGCCAGTCTCATAACAAAAGGTGGCTCATTGCTCGTTAGTTGTGTGAGAGGGACACATCAGGATTGGTGTTCCATCAGCTCTAATTCAGAGCTTGATTAGAGCCAACTCATTACTACTCCTTCTTGAGTCCTCAGAGTTAATATTTGGAGGACCTGTCCAGAGTCCAAAGGCTGTTAAGACTGTTTCCACATTGGGTTTTTACCTTGTTCCTATTACCTCCTGTTTACTGCTAGTGAAGCATAAACCTTTTAACTAGGAGGAAATAACTGGCTGGAACATCACTAATAAATGAGACTTATCCATAACTGCTATAGTTACAAGTTGGATTGGAAGAAATCAAGAAATCTTTGATCTTGATGAAAACTATAGTGAAAATACATGAAATTATCAAAACATGTATTAAAAATGGTTTGGGGAACTTCTGGACTTCAGTCTTCATTTCTTTTGTCACTTTTAAAACTTACTTTGGGATGGGATTTCTTTGAAAAGTCCATGTCCTTCCCTTGTACCATATATTTATGTAGCCTTCAGTGCTAGGATAAGTGCAATATAAGGTTATTTCATTTTCCTTTCCCTTCTTTTATAGGTGGGCTTCGAGGAGTCGCACGAGGGGGTCTAGCAGGCCTGACACTTACCAGCCTATATGCACTGTATAACAACTGGGAGCACATGAAAGGCTCCTTGCTCCACCAGTCACTCTGAAGATTTTGCCAACTCATGGAAGATACTTGTAGTAGTCATCCATCTAAAGTCATTCTGGATTTATTTTCTCCTGCTAGAATTCGTTTGAAAAATTG